AAACCAAAAAACAAACCAAGCAACGCACGAAAAAATCAAACAACCAACCAAGAACAAACCAACCACCCAACAAACCAAAAACAAACCAAGCAACGCACCAACCAACCAACAACCAAAAACAAACCAAGCAACGCACCAACCAACCACCCAACAAACCAAAAACAAACCAAGCTAACGCACCAACAAACCAACCAACTAACCAAAAAAACAAACCAAGCAACGTACCAACCAACCACCCAACAAACCAAAAAATAAACGAAGCAACGCACCAACCAACCAACAAACAAACCAAAAAAACAAAGCAAGCAACGCACCTACCAACCACCCAACAAACCAAAAAACAAAGCAACGCACCAACCAACTTACCAACAAACCAAGCAACGCACCAACCAACCACCCAACAAACCAAAAAAGAAACCAAGCAACGCACCAACCAACCAACCAACAAACAAACCAAAAAAACAAACCAAGGAACGTACGAAAAAATCAAACAACCAACGAAAAACAAACCAACCAACCAACCAAAAACAAACCAAGCAACGCACCAACCAACCAACCAACAAACCAAAAAACAAACCAAGCAACGCACCAACCAACCACCCAACAAACCAAAAACAAACCAAGCAACGCACCAACCAACCAACCAACCAACCAAAAAAACAAACCAAGGAACGCACCAACCAACCAACAACCTAAAAAAAACAAACCAAGCAACGCACCAACCAACCACCCAACAAACCAAAAAACAAACCAAGCAACGCACCAATCAACCAACCAACCAACCAACCAGAAAACAAAATACATCTAATATAACATAATATACAAAGCTAATATAACATAATATACAAAAGACACATGAAATTATTTACAAAAGATATACACAATGTTTGAAAACAATACATCTAATATAATATAATATGCAAAATACACATGTATAATTATTTACAAAAGATATACACAATTTTGAAAAAAAATAATCCAATAACATAATATACAAAAGACAGCCAATAAACCAACCAACAACAAACCAAGAAAACACCCAACAAACCAAAAAACAAACCAAGCAACGGACCAACCAACCAACAAACAAACAAACAAACAAACAAAATAAACCAACCAAGAAACGAACCAACAACAAACCAGCTAACCAACAAACCAAAAAACCTACAAACCAACCAACCAACCAACCAACCAACCAAGCCAAGAACCAACAAACAAACAAACCACCCATTAAACTAAAAAAAACAAACAAAGCAATGGACCAACAAACAACAAACCAACCAACCAACAAAGCAACAAACAAGAAACCATCCAACCAACAAACAAACCAAGAAAGCAACCAACAACAAACCAACCAACCAACCAACCAACCAACCAAGAAACCAACAACCCAAGCCAAGAAACCAACCAACAAACAAACCAACAAACCACCCAACAAACCAAGCAACGGATCAACAAACGAACTAACAAACCAACCAACTAAGAAACCAACCAACAACAAACCAACCAATCAACCAACAAACCAACCAATCAACCAACAAACCAGCAAACCAACAAACAAACCAAGCAACAGACCAACAAAGCAACAAACAAACCAACCAAGAAACCAACAAACAACAAATTAACCAATCAACAAACCAAGAAACCAACCAACCAACCAACAAACCAGTCGGTGTGATAACCTAAACTTTACATTTCTCATTCTTTTACAAATGGACAAAAGATATAATTTTGAAAAAAATACATCTAATATATGAACAATTATTATTATTACAGTCACATATAAAAGTATTTACAAAAGATATACACAATGTTAGAAAACAAAATACATCTAAAATAACATAATATACAAAATACAGATATAAAATTATTTACAAAAGATATACACAAAAAGTTAGAAAACAAAATACATCCTAAAATAACATAATGTACAAAAGACACAACACCATCACAATCAAATCATAATCAAATCAAATCAACAAACTAACTAACCAACCAACCAACCAAGAATCAACCAACCAACCAACCAACCAAACACCTACCCACCCACCCAACCAACCAACCAACCAACCAACCAACCAACCAACCAACCAACCAACCGACAGACTAACTAACCAAACAACCAACTAGCCTAGTGTGTTGTAAGGGAGTGTGTGTTGTGGTGTGTTTTGAAGAGAGGAGAGTTGTGTCAGAGTTCAACCAAATCAACCAACAAACCAACCAGTCAATCAACAAACATTTCCCACAAGCCGGTGGTCAGGCTTCGCCGGTGGTTGGGCCGGGGACATCCGCTGGGCAGGCCACGCTGATGGAGGACGGCCCCTCCTGCCGGTGGTGGGGAGGGCGTCAGCCGGCCAGTGGTCGGGCCGGGGAGCTTGCAAGCCAATGGTCGGGCCGGGGCATCTCAGGTCGCGGTGGTGGGTGACGATGCAGGCTGTGGCAGTCCTCCCGGACGGCCCCTCAGGTCGGTGGTCGGGCTGGAGAGCGTCACTCGGCCGGTGTTCCGGCCGGGGAGCCGGAGTGGGGGTGGGGGGTGATGGGGTGCCTAAAGCCGTACCTGGGATCCCGGTCTGTAAGAAAAATACATGAAGGAGACACATTTAGGAGGGCCTGCATGGGGCAGACTGAACAAAGCACTTACCAGTAAAACAGTTACTACTACTACAAATTGCCTAGCTTACACATGTATGATGGCTTTATACCAAAATGTAACTTTTAGGTGTTAAATTCAAACCACCTGTTAATTCTGCAGCAGCTGGGCAAGTTCTTATACAGTGTCGTGACAGATAAAAATATCAAAGCAGTCTATCAACTTACGAAACCAATCCGGCTTGCGCTTCACCCGGTCACTTCTCCACAGCTGACCTGCAGCTGGTGGTACTGTTGGTGATTTAAAGAAAAGAATAAGTTACTAAAGGGCACATTATTGTGATGTCAAATGTATGTATTAGTTGATTAGCATAGCATAAATTTCAAAGTTCATCTGTGTTGGTACAATTATTTACATCGAAGTTTGTGTACATAGTATACATACAATGTATTCCACTTGTTAAAAATGACTGGGATTTTGTGACAAGATGGACCGATCCATAACTAGCGCCATCTAGCGAACCTCTGAAACATTTGCTGAAAGCGCGGGAAATTTGAAATAACAAGCGATAAAGTCCACATAAAACCGGAAATTTCAACGTCAACGATCTAAAGCAAGTAGGTTTTCGTCCGGTGGCCATTTCATTTCATATTGAAAGTAGCCAGTTTTCAAGATTACGCTACGAAATTTCAGGGAGTTTCGTGGCGTACTTTGTCTGCTACATGTATTATTTACACTATTGTTTACCATCTCAGAAATGGCTTCGATAGTTTCAGATGGTAACGAATGTTTACGAGACGGAAGTTAGTGTTCCTTTCTTCAAGAAGCACTCGAGTCTGGTATATCCCGGTTTTAGTGACACTCTTCCAAGTTTGTCCCCGATCTGGCTAGTTGGGCAGTCCTGGCTCTATATATATCTCTTATGCAGCCTAATAAATCAAATCAAATCAAATCAAATCAATGGGAATTTTGCGCCTGTAGGACTTTCTTCTGTGGCGGCAGGAGTTTGATTAGCTGATTGCTACTGTCGTAGTGAATGTCCTTGCACACTTGAATTTGGCAGTAGAAGAGCCCGAAACATTCCTAATCAATCGGCATGAATAAGCCAGGGTTTCTGTTGATGAGATTCGTTCTATGGGCAAGATGAAACTGTGTAGAGAACAATACTGAAAATATGATTGGGCTCACCGTTGTTATTGTTCCTCGCCATTTTCTCCAAAACTTCGAATTCAAAGCCAAGCAAAGCAAGGCAAAGCAATGAGATTACGATGAGAGCAGATTGCGCGTGTACTACCCTCAGCTAGAATAGCATGAGAATGGCCCCGTGCGCATATATATACGCTCTGTCGCGACGTACGGCGAGACGTGGGTCTAGACATGACGGCGGGTCTAGCGACGTCCAGACAGTGCATGTCTGTTCAACATGCCAGTTTTCCCGCCAACACCTGGTCGTCGAGATTCATATGATAATTATTTTGACATACACTGTAATCCAACATGGCGCATGTGAAAGCCTGTTTGCTGCCACAGTCTGAATTGATAAGGTTTTTATAAGGCCCATTTTGAACTTCTGGGCGGGCAGTAATTCCGATCTTACTGATTAATACAACAAACTTGCGTGGCGGTTCCTTATTTGACGTTTATATGATTGCACACTGATGTCTTATTGGTGAATATTTAGTTCGACTCAAGTTGTTGACTGCAAAGGAGCCCTTAGAATTGCATTAAGTCCTGTTACGTGTAATACTATTACGGGAGGGGTCCTAATTCCGACCTATGTTCCATGCAAACGCATGATCGGCCAGGAAGGGAGTGGACAAAAGCATTTGAGAGCAACTCCACTCTTGTCAAGTTGTTTTGCCTTCGATAGAAGGCTATGAAATCGTTTTTGCACTGTTTGGCAGATTATGCACGATAACTCTTGAAGGCATGGTCCGTGGTTCACGATTTTTGGCAGGCAGGTTGTCTTGGGGTGGCCATTGTCAAGGCCAAAAATGGGCTTCGTGGGGGGTTCCTACGTCACTGTAGTTGACCTTGGGTTTTGGTATTTTTCCCTTGTAGACAAGATATCTCGAGTATCCTTAAATGGATGTTCATGATTTTTAGTGGGCAAGTTACCGTTGAGAATGCCGAGGTCAAGTTCGGAGATGGGCCTCGTGGGAGGTTCCCATGTCATTGAAGTTGACCTTTTGTGTTGTTCATAACATTGTAGTCAGCATAACTTCAGAACGCCTTTATGGATTGTGATGATATTTGGTATGTTGGTAGGTCTTTGAAAGATAAAGGTCAAGGTCAGATATGGGCCTCCTTGTGGCCGACCTTGGTACTGCATCAAAACTTCCAGTTTTTGTATCTTTTGTCATGAACATGCTATGGTCTTGACTTTTTGGTGACTGATAACTTTTCCTGCCAGTAATAAGTGGTGTGGGTTTGGTCCCCTTAGCAGCTTGTTCTGGAACTGCAGGAAGGTTTCTGGCGAAACCTTTCAGAGCAGATAAATTCACAAAGGAACAATGTATTTTTATGATTTTTGGTATGTGGGTAGCTTAGTCAGAGATCTACATTATTGGTTGCAAATTATGACTTCATTTGCATGATTAATGAGGAAATTCTGTAATTCCAGTGTTTTACATCATGGGACTTTGATACATGTAATATTCATAATCTATGGCAGGTGGAATATCACCAGGTACCAATTATGCAAATATGGACGTAATTTACATAATTAATCTGAAATTTCTCTGACTCCTTAGTGGTAAATGATGGGGATTTCATTCTTGGTACATGTGTAAGTTAATCAAAAGTTAACATCACGATGCATTTATTATGTTAATTAATTAAAGAAAAAAGTTACATTCACATGTCAAGCCCATATTTCATGGAGGTATGAGATCTCGGAACTCTTGTTTGAAGTTTGGATCACCGCGTATCGGAGGGAAGAAAACAACCTTTCGCGGCCAGACTCCCCAGGCCAATTCTCCTTTTTGCCGAATTCTATGATCCGTTTTTCCGTAGAAAGACATGGCACAGGCTAGGTAAATGGTATGTTGCTCTCTGACCACTATACTACTACAATAATCATTTTCAAAAAACCTAGACTATACACACACACAACACCAACCAAAACAATATCACACTGTCGAAGGCATGAGCCCTCCGAACTCTAGTTGGGCTTGAATTTCTATCTCTTAAGTTAGTCAGATTTTCAACTCAAGTTGCAGGACAAGTGCATTTCAGAAGGGTAAAATGTAATAGCTTCTCCTACGGATTTTGTATTTCCCAACAAGTACAGTATATTTATATTCCTAATGAAAAGTAACAAAGATTTACCCATACACTAGTATTGAAATAAAGAGCACATTTTATCTTAAACATATTGTTTTTTTCATTTCACAACTCACAAAAACACCACTGTAAACTATAAGTTTACTGAATATTACTACAAAAAGATATATGTCACAGCTGTAATGTTCAAATTCCACATACACAGAACATCTGCAACATCACACAACAATCTCCCTTCCCGTATAAAACACACCTTCTCCAAAAAAAACATCTCTACGCTCTACTTTCTTATCCATTTACATCTCACAACACATCATTTATAGATCACATCCCATTATAGAAAGTTTATTGCAAATTCATGCCAGAGGGCTAATTACAAGAACATGATAACAACAGTAAATAGTAGAATGATAATAAGTGAATGCTAATGCTACTTTATATATACATTTGTAGTTATTGTTGGGTTTGATTTCTTTTCCGTGTGCAGTGAAGTATTATAACCGCCAGTAAATAATCCTTTTTATAGAGGCAAAAATGGCAGCTTTTTTCAGAAAGCACTTGTTTTTCAATTTACGGCACACATTTACTTATTTTGCATTTGCTTTAATTGTAATTTGTACAGTATGGTAGAACATTTTTTGGAAAGGGACAAAAATTAATGCATGTGCAGATGTTGTCCATATCAAATTAACATAACATCCTCTCCCAGTTATCAATCAGTACATATCATAAGCTAGAGTAATTATATGTTTTGTCTCTCAGAAGCCACACCAATTTGATTGGCTGAGTCTTGGATTTTTTTCAGAAAAAATATGAAGCGATAAAGCAAAAAAATACAGGCCTAGGCATCCTATTATAGCCGAAAATGCTATGATAGGAGCCATGAAGTCAACATACCAGGCTGGTTTGTAATCTAAACAATGAATTGTGAAACCACTGCATTAGATAGATACATGAGGGAACAGTAACAACTAGGAAGAAAAGGACTGTCTTCAACTGTTCGGGGCAAAATATGAGCAATTTTCAGTAACGATTATGAACCAGAATCTTTTTTTTTTTTTGCAAATCAGAAAAAATGAAGCTGGTAAATCCATGAACCAACAAATTAAATTGGTGTGACCTTAAACTTTATCAAGCACTTTCAAATCCACCAAAATGAAAAGAAAACGCAGAAGACTTGCGGGTACTTTGACACTGAGTTTATTTGACATCTGCTACATATGTCATAATATGTACAACTTAGAGTGTTCAGAGCCCCAGCAAGTGCCTCCACCTTCTACAGGGTGAGTTGGGCATCATCACAAGTGCTCCAGAAGTATTCTATGCCATATCTATACATCATTTTCGTTTTTATACACATAAATAGAATTGGTAAGACATACAGTTAAACAGCATATAGGATACAAAACCTAACACAAATTTACAAATGAGTAGTGCTGCAGACAAAGAATTTCTTCGATTCAGGTGCCTTCCCCAACTAACTACTGGACTTTTCAACGTTCTTTGGAAATTTGGTGTCAATGCACAAGGGTTCTTCACTGTGTTTGATTAATGAATGCTAATTAAATGATAGTAATTACAGCACGGCTTGTTTTCTCTGGCTTCATGGTCTCACTCGAAGTGGCGCTTTAGAAAATATATCTTTCTGGATTACAAACAACCAATCAAGTTGAGCCGTTGTTTTTTTGTGCAGTACCTAGAACTAGAGGCAACAGTGTGGCGTGATATACAGGATAAGTGCAGGAGTCTATCTATGTACTATACATGACACTACAGCACATAGTAAGCATCTTATGTACACCTACGTCATTTTTGTACTTCATTTTTCTTCGTCAGTCCGCTTCTTCTTAATTAGAATTCAAGTTTTGCTTGTTTCGTCTCAACAGCATTGCACGTTATGCGCATTAAAATTGGTAATGGCAGCTTAATTAACTATGGAGTATCTGAATTTTTTCCTTATAAGATGTTCCACCCTTAAGTGCTCAAGTCAAATAAGACCAACCCTGTCAAATTTGTAGAAACATACTGCACAATTATCCCACAAAAATGGAGCAGAGATTGGACTACTTTCTGTGAAATGAGAAATGACTTGTTGAGAAGTTACAAAAATTGAAAAAAAAAAACCTGTTGTTGCGTCATTGTCCTCTTAGCCAAGAGTGTTTCTTATAATTTCACTTTTACATGACTATACTACAAGGACTTTTTGAACTGCAGTATCAGTATATGGTTTTGAGACCAAGCCATACCATTGGGGCAACGTAATTATATATTATCATCTTTTGAGATTTCAATGGGAATACATGATTTACATGTAAATCTAAGGCTTGAAAGTAAAAATAACTCGTAATACCTCTTATACAGCAGCAACTGATGTTAGATCTATGAGAATTTAGCTGAACACCATTTTAGATACAAGGGTCTCTGAATTTTCTTCTTTAACTTTGAATGTTAAGGGGAAAATGTATGTCTGAGCAACATTTTGGGCCCTTCCATGACTTTGATAACGAAAACAGGAATAAAATTCTACCCGTTTCTTCTTACCTAATACATGTACATGTATCCTAAGAAGCACAGAATTTCAATAGCCGTAAGGTTCAGGCTTTTGCATGTACTGAATAGAATAAGCAGCCATTGCCAGAACATACCTTAATTCCTAAACCTTTCAGGGCATTAACTTTACAACTACCCTCCCCAAGTTTTCTAAATTCAAAATGCGCCAAACCGACATTAAAGGACGACAGAATTTCCGGACAAACTTTACATGCCAGCACCATGAACCAGTAGTTGTCGTAACAGTCGACATTGTTGGTACCTAACACTTTGTTAGGCGACTAGATTTATGTTACATCTGACACAAATATCTATACATCTACATTTTTCCTTTATACTTGAGCTTGGACTAGTTAGCCTACTATCCACTGGTCTCTTTGAAAGACAACCATAATGTTGCTACGTATTTATGTAGAACTGATTTGAAAAAAAAGCAACCTTATGTAGATGAAAATTTTCTCGCACTTTGAATCACCCTCTGTATAAAATATGCATTGTTGTGTTGTTATTTATGAAAATGGTACATGTACATAACGTTATGAATTTTCAAAATGATCTTGTGTGTTTTGCAAATACTGAAATAGGGCTGAATATAGTTGGTCTGAATATTATGTAGAGTTTACATGCAAAACCTTCACCCCCCTGTACCTTGCTTTAGAAGAGATTGAGCATTTCTTGCAACTTCAAATTCTTGTAAGAGAGCGAGAAATATCCCTCAAAACACCTAGAAAACATTGGAATCTAGAATGTACAGCCTCTAGTTTATGATAACAGAAATCTTGCAGCGTTGACAAAAATGACAAGCCAGTCAATTATTTTTATCAGCCTGACGTAGCATGCTGGCAGTACTGTGTATTTTAGTACTGTGCCTGTGTGAAACCCACTTTTGTTCATGCACAGCACTTTGGCCAAAATTTCTCGTTAAACATCGTGTTTGCGTATTTAAGGACGACATCCCATCTATCATTTTCAAATGTTGTGTTGGAAAAGATACCGTCTGTAACCGGCAAAATTCTGATACAGGGTTGACCAAACGGCCTATACGAAAACTGTGAAAAACCTGGGTTTCACACAGGCGCAGTACGTTCTGCCAACATGCTGATTCACCTCAATCTGATTGTCCCACTACACCCTAGGAATTTTAAGAACACCAAACAAATTTGACAATATGTATCTAATATGATCATCTATACTTCGCCATAAAAGTCTAATCATTTCTTGAACTTCGGCACTATTCAACATATTGCACTAAAAACAAGTTTAAAACATTGTAAGCACTGGAATAACATATCTGAGTTTCACTGAGGATTTTCAAAGCTTCTGTTGGAAGAATTCATCGGAATAAAAGCTCATATTCTTTTTAAGAACAGCATATATAATGGAAGCAAATTAAACATGTTTCTTGCGACAATATATCTTTATCCTCATAAATTTGTCTTTAAATTTCTTTACAACACTCTTATTCAATACCTACTCTTCATTCCTATCTAATATCATATCCTTCAATAATAATATTTAAGTTCTAAATAATTTTAAAGGAAATAAAAGCCAGTTTGCTGATTATCATTTGGTGTATTATAATTCAAATTCACAAGGAATAAAATAGAATCAGAACAAAATCCATGTACTAGGCAGCATCTATATTTCTGGAGTGCTTCAAAATCATTCAGAACCGAACGGAATTTGGCTAACTTGGTAAAATGTTTCCCTTTCATATTGATGGTTTTGTTTTGACCAGTACTACTTTATTTACTGAATTTCAGAATCCCACTTGGTTAAAGTCACCTACTTATTCCGATTGCACTCAACAAAGGCAGCATATAAATTCCTCTGCTCAGCTGTTTGCAAGTTTCAATTGCTTCTCAGAGAATTCTATTACCTTTCCTTATAGTGAACCTCCTATTTTTTTTATATGTTAGAACAGCAGCCTTGAAGCAATATTGCCAACATATGAGCCTCATAATGTTCAGCAATACGCTGGTTTACCCCATGCAAGAGTGAAGGAGAACAAAACCTTCTGTTCCCTTCCCATTTACATAGTCCTTGTGCAGCAAGAGACAGGACAGAGCCATATACATCCGGCCCTGAAGTTACAGTTACTAATTCTGCACAATTAAGCTATCAAAGAATATAGAAAACGGTTCAGGATGAAGCCTGTTTCCTTACGACAAACTGTTTAGAATCAGGACTTTGTTTCTGATAGAGATCCCTGGTAAAAAGAAGGGGACAGGGTGCCGGTAATAGTTGGAAGTGACGTGGAAAGAATCAGTGGCCGTACAACGTGGTGCTATTTATTTCTCTTTCTCACCCTCCCTGCTGCCCGTCTGTTCAGCATATAAATGCCCTAATTCACTACACTATGGTTGCAGTGCTCTTCTACCAGCCGGCGATTGTGTAAAAGAACAGTCACGGAGTCCCTGCCCAAGGTTGGTAGGCATCAGTTGAAGCAACAGTGCGTAGGAGGATGGTATCATCTGCTGTAGGTGTTATCTTATCTCTGCCCCGGTTGTCGCAGCAAAAAGCACCTCAACAGTCCTCCCTACAAAGGCAGGCCCCCGCTGTGAGGGTGCTACGTTTTAACGGTGAGTCGTACCTCCCCTCCCCACCAGACGTGGGCGATCAGAAAATCTCTCTCTACTCAACAAAAGGCGGTCGGGAGGTGAGTTCAGAGCTGGTACCACTTCTTGTTCTTGTACTTCTCCATGACCTGGTGTGCGGAGCTGGCGTACAGCTCCGAGCCGACCTTCAGCGCCTCCGTCCGCTCCTCCAACTCCGACAGCTTCTCTCCGCGCTCCACCAGGGCCTGGGGGATACATCAGGATGAGGATGGTGATTGGTGTATCAGGGCTCGAAATACTGGGTGCATGTGTACCTTAGTGCACCCAAAATTGGAGCTGTGCACCCAATTTATGTCATATCAAGTGTGTAATAGTATGCAGGATATTCTTGGCATACAAGTGTCAGAAAAATAATAAAATCTTTGTTGTAAGTTATCCCTCATTTCAGATTCAAGCTAAGAAGAGGAGCAGTAACATCTGTAATTAGTTCTTGTTTTATATGGTGCACCCAAAAACTTTTTTGTGCACCCAATTTTTTAGGTTGGGTGCACCAGTGCACCTATTCCCACACATTCACACAAACTGACATTGGCAGTCAACTGATTGAATTGGTGTCAGACTTTACAAAAATTTAGCATCGATCTATATATAGTGAGTAAAAATCTAGTAACATATTTTAACTCATCATCATGATCAGTCTGACCAGATTTAGGCCATGCCTACCTTTCTATAAAATATATACGATATGATTGTATAAGTCGAAATGAAGTTGAGTTAACTTTGAATCAAACATGCCCTGAATACTACTGACTTACATGGTAATGGCTAGTGTTCTGCTGACTTCCAGCCAACTATGATGGAACCTTCTGACCAAACCCCGAATGTTTTAAACATTTTGAAACATTTGGCTGACTCAGCTGACTAGCCAACTTCAGCAAACACCAGCCGACCATGCTCCGACTTCTCATTACCAAGGCTGGGGGGTGTTTGGCTAGTGTTCAGGAGGCCAAATTTGAGAATGTGTGACAGAGGCTCTGTCTCATTTTGCCTTCACCGAAGAAACCTACCATTCTGGCCTTCTGGACTTCAGCCATAGCAGAGCCTGACTCTGCCTTCACCCCCTCAATACCGCCTGTTCCTGGAATGTGCTTGGCCACGCTGCGGGAAGCCTTACCACTGGCTGCCTCACCGACTGTACAAACAACAAAACAATAGTCATTATACACAACAAAACAGTCATTATAAACAACAAAACAAGTCATTATAAACAACAAAACAACAGTTATACACAACAAAACAACATTAATTATAAATAACAAAAGTCATTATATAGCACTCATAAACAACAAAACAACTGTTATTGTACACAACTAAACAACAGTCATTACAAAAAACGATTTGAAAACAACAGTCATTACAAACAGCGAAACAACAGTCATTGCAGACAAAACAACAGTCACACTTCAGAGAAGCCATGTGACAAGTCTCACTGGGTAGGTCTATTGAAGAACCTTGCATTGAGTCTATTGAGTAACCAGTCAAAATCTCTAGGTGAGAACAGTCTCTTGTGTGCTAACTTTAAACAAATAACAAAATAACTGTAACAGTTATAATCATTGCAGTTGCAATTGCAACTTCTTGTGGACTATTAAATTAAATGTGCAATGTATCAAACAGTCAGTGGGAAATTTGTGTGTGGACTTGACTTCAATTTTGTGTTATTTTCATGAGCTAACCTCAGACAAAATAGAAGTATGGATACCAATCAGCTTTCTCTACTAACTTATGTTTCGTTTAAAAACTAAAGATACTTTGCTGAAATGCTTGCCACCCCAAAACTGCAAAATTTCTTTTCTGGGTATTACATGTACAGCAAAAGCAACTAATTCCTATTCTAAGAGCAAGCTATTGTGGTACTGTAACAGTGTGCAATCTTTCATAGTAGCTTAATTTTATCAACAGTAGTTTGAGGGTAGCTCTTACAGAGTTCCTCCTTGTCGACAATAGACGGACTGCTGAACAGGCCTTTAAAGAAGCTCTGTTTGGGCCCCTCGGGTGTGTCCACAGGAAGGAACAGCTCGCACAGCATCTCTTGGAGGCTCTCACTGGATGGAACAGCAAGTTGAGATACATTGAGATGAAACAGCGAAATACATTGAGATGAAACAGCAAGTTGAGATATATTGAGATGGAACAGCAAGATGATAATTGAGATGGTACAGCAACATGAGATACATTGAGATGGAACAGCAAGTTGAGATATATTGAGATGGAACAGTCAAATGAGATATATTGAGATGGAACAGCAAGTTGAGATACATTGAGATGGAACAGCGAGATACATTGAGATGAAACAGCAAGTTGAGATATATTGAGATGGAACAGCAAGATGATAATTGAGATGGTACAGCAACATGAGATACATTGAGATGGAACAGCAAGTTGAGATATATTGAGATGGAACAGTCAAATGAGATATATTGAGATGGAACAGCAAGTTGAGATATATTGAGATCGAACAGCAAGTTGAAATATATTGAGATGGAACAGCAAATTGAGATACATTGAGATGGAACAGTAAAAAAGTGATCCATTTGGAGAAGAACAACATTTTATAACATACATGTACTGAAACGTCTATCAACTGTACAGTAGGAGACTTGTTATACTGATACAAAATTTTTGTATCAGTAAAATGAAGTTTTTGTTACAAACTTCAACAGTAATCTTTTTCTGTCTTTGTCTATGCTTTGTGATGGTAATCATTGCAAAAGGTATGGCCCAAATAAAAAGTGTAATTTTGGAAACTTCGTAAATTTAAGTTACTGACAAAAGGTTACACGAGGTACATGTAGATGAAGATTTCAGGGCATCTTATGACTGTCGAGAAGATAAATAAAGAACACCATCTCACCACGTGTCAGCAGCAAGGGTTATCCTCTGGATTTCGCTGGGCGTACATAAGTAGAGCGCCTGCCCGCAATTCGAAAAGCTGAAGGTCTGGGCAATCCTACAGCAAAAAATCAATCAATAAATCAACACATTAATCAATCAATCAATTCTGCAGGCATACAGTTGTATCATCAGTAGAAAATGAAAACCCAATCAAATTCAAAACATATATAAAATGTACTTCTCAAATATTTCAATTATTTGTCTTCCTGTTATGTCCATCTGCTGAGAAATAACTGATGTTTTTGTGGCTAATATGAGACAGGAGTTTGCCAGGCCTCTGTCTGGGTGATTTGTAGTAAATCACCAACTTCTAGACAGTAGGATTCAGACCATCACACACTGGGGCATGCCCCTACTCTTTTTCAAAAGGTGTGGTGGGTTCTTTAAGGTGTGGCTCTCCCCAAATGCGAGACCTCCATTTAACGTCCTACATCCAAGGGGTGTCCCTAACAAAAACTAGGTACTCATTTTCACCTGATTGAAGAGAGGAAAGTTGTGTTAAGTGCCTTTCCCAAGGGCACACCATATTGGCGCATGTCAGGATGAAACCCAGGACCTCTTGGTTCCGAGTCAAATGCAATGCCACACGATGCCAACCAGACTGTTTTGATATTTATCAATTATGATAAATTTTATGACAACATTAAATTAAAATAAAATAAATTAATAAACAATGTCATGATGTTTGTCATAATAAATTGATATTATTTCATATTTATATTAATATATATTTATATATAATATACATATTATACATTATATTAATATATATTTGATAATATAATATCATTGATATGGTTTTTTATTTATGGCACTTATTCATTAATATTAATAAATAAATAAATTGATAAATAATTTTACTCATTTGTCATTAATATTAAATTGTTTATTTAATTAATTAATATTAAACAATATTATGACTTAAGTTATGTTGGAGAAAAGCGTACTACGTTACCTCATGTCAGCTAGCGGGAGAAAGTCGCTATCTAGCAGTGGCCGTAGGCTGGGGAGGCTGAACGTCATGATGTGTCCATTGGCGAGGAAGCAAGCTAGACAAACACTATCTGCAAGGTACAAATGAAGGAGACAAGTGATAACAGCACTGTCCTACATTTCTACTGTACACAGTACTATTGTTAGATCTTTGAATGCGCATGGATGGATGTTGATAGAAGTCTTGGGCAACCCCTGTCTAACTTAGGCCATGTTGATTTGATTATATGGATGACATCCACGCGCGCATGAATTTTCGTCCGTTTCCAAAAAAAAAAATTTTCAACCATACTGTAAATCGTACAAAACAGTTGCAAAATGAGCAAAAATATACCATAAGTTACAAAAAAATTAATAAAAACTATACCAATGTCGTAGAATGCCAAAATCAAACGAAAAAAGACGAAATTGTAAAGAAATGAACTTGAAGACTAGATTATTCGCCAAACCATATTCTGTGCCATTTGCTCAACCCTCATGATCACGTAGATTTCATAATGAAAAGAACTTTATTCGCACGCGCGCATCAGTTTTGGGGCTCCCGGAGGATGTCATCCATATAATCAAATCAACTTGGCCTTACCGGTAACAAACTTACCATCTTGGCCGTACTGGGCTTCTTGTTGCTGCTGAGATAAATCTAGAGGAAACTTTGTTTGTTGGGAACTTTGAAAAATGAAAAGGTGACTAGAAGTACTGCTTTAATTTGCATCTGAACTGTAGCTGGTATAACTGCCCTTCAGCATAACTCCCAGGCATGTGGCATAGCAACAGCTGGCTACGTTACACTGAACAACTTGTTACACATTGCCTTTGCACATCTAACTGTAAAGTATTGTTCAAAGTTACCGAATGATGATGCTCCTACTGTACCTGAAAGCAGTGAGTTCCATGATTATCAAAGGAAATAACTAGCCACAGACTCCTGATCAAAGCAATACTGACAGCTTAAGCGTAAGAAAAAAAATATAAAATGCATCAATTTTTAATGCACTTTTGCCACCTCAACAGCCTTGCAAAGCCATATCATGATGTACAAATAGCTAAGTTTACTTAGCAAAGTAGCATGGCGTTGACTCTTGCATGTAACTGCCTGTGGATAAAAGTGATTGATGAATGCAGGAGAAAAGATTAGGCCACACCAAGTAATTTTCATGGATGATGTCCATTGATTTGGGCCTGTTCCCAGAATAAAATTAAAATTCCGCTTCCTGTAACTATGACCAAAAAATCATGACAGTGCCGCAAATCGTAAGATTAGGATGAAAACTCAGATGTTTGACTGATTTATCGCTGTTTTATAAAAGACTTGTTATTTGTTACCCTGTGTTCAGTCATTCAATTTGTGTCCTAACATTTGTCGTCCCTCAAATCTAGGCATCTTATTTTTCTTTCTGACCCTTCTTGTTTTTTTTTTCAAGCTCTCGCATTAGATTTAAGGTCTCCAGAGGACGTCATCCATAAAAATTACTTGTACTTGTACAGAAAGAGCTCCCTATGCTACACTGGGCCCATTAGAGTGTAAAAGTCATGGGTGTAGATTTAATAGTTCTGTAGATTTCCTAGTTGGATGTAGATTTACTAGTGATGTACTAGATGTTTCTTTATAGCCGATATAACTTCCCCTTGGCGTAACACACCAGCTAGTACCTAGTTGCATCTTTGGCAGACTATTTTGTTTCAATAATTTCATAATCTCCAAGCAGATCCCTCTCGGTGGCAAAAAGACAGTATCAAATTGGCCAGGCAGTATCCATTTGCCAGAGAAGGTCCGCGGCCACCGACGGGGGGTAGCGATAAAAAAAAAAACGGCCATATATAAAAAGCTATAGCCTAACGATCATTCCCCCACAACCTCTGCTTGGAGAGTATCATTTCATACTTAGCCCAAGAGGAAACCATCTGACCTTTCACTTTGGATGTGACCCTGTCCAAGGCACAGCAGAGCTTGGGAGCTGGTCCAGGGTTAAGAGTGGAGGAGAGGGAGGAGAAGGAGAAGGGAGGAGGTTGGAAGAGATGTAAGGCCTAAGAAACAAAAATGTTGTGTTTCCGTTTTCCCGACTGGCCCTAGCCTTTTTTGATTGACCGATTGTATGGCTATAAAAGTTTTGATTCGACATCTGAATTTCAAACCCTCTGAACCCAGTAAATCAAGTGAAATATTTGCCCCAAAACAAACAGGTAGACAGGTCCTTGAGACAGTCCAAATGCATTGTTAAACTTTATTATTTTAGCCTAAATCTAGAAAAAAAAAATTAAAAAAGAAGAAAATCCTAACCCTAGTATTTTTGTAAGAATGAAACTGGAAACACAATATCAATTTTCCTAGGCCTAGGTATTCAGGGATCCAGACTAACTTTTCAACTTTAAAAAATCCAGTTTTGACACCCTGACATTGCATTGGATGCCTTTATAAAGCTCATTGTCTCTGAACAAGCAGGTGTTAAAAGACATTAATGCTGATTCAGAAGAAACCTGTAAGAGGAGCCACAGCACCTAAAAGCAAACGTAAGATGAACAAGACACCACAGATACAAAGTATGGCCACTCAAAACACACCACCAAGCCAATAACAGCCGAATGACACAGTACACAGTTCAATCAACAGCTTACTGTAAGGCCACAGTGACTTAACTCTATGGATGACATCCTCTGGGGACCCCCATACTAGTACGCACGGGCAAATACCCCCCTCCCCCCAAACGCTGCTAAACCACAGGAATATAAAGCTGACATTGTGAGTAGGGACTTTTATGTGACTTTTGCGGCACTTATGAGTTGGCAATGTACTGAGTCCTGGAGTTCCGTGAAGTTTCGGCAGCCTGGTTGCCGTCCTCCATAGTTACTGCTGGCTTCCTGTTGTCACTAGCTACCATGGACTATGCAGGGTGGCACCCAGGCAAGAGCCTTGTAAGAGGTGATTTTTTGTTTTAGAACAGACAAAAATCAATGCCTGCGTGGATGTCATCCATAAAATCAAATCAGTGTGGCCCAACAGGAGGTTAAGAAATAAAGCTGACATCTGCAAGATGAAATGTTGAAGACCTGAAGCAGCTGGTGTGAATCATACTAACCATTTCTAACCTTTTTCTTGGTTAGATTAGTAGAGTGGCCAACCTTGCTCTGATGTTCTGGAGGAGTAGAGAGGGATAGACAGGTGAGTAGCAAGAGAACAAGGGTAGAGGTGTGGTACTGATAGATGTGTGGAGAAAGTGTGTGCTTGTGTTTACAATGTTTGTGTATGGTATTGTTTTTGTGTGGACCACTACCAAGGGCAGTGTTGTCAGTGTGATTATTATTTAATACCAAGGACAGTCTGTTGTCATTCAGTACCAAGGACAGTGTTGTCATTCAGTACCAAAGACAGTGGTGTCAGTATGACTGTCATTCAGTAGTAAGTACAGTGCTGTCATTCAGTACCAAGGACAGTGCTGTCAGTGTGACTGTCATTCAGTAGTAAGTAGTGCAGTGTTGACATTCAGTACCAAGGACAGTGCTGTCAGTGTGATTGTCATTCAGTACCAAGGACAGTGTTGTCATTCAGTACCAAAGACAGTGGTGTCAGTATGACTGTCATTCAGTAGTAAGTACAGTGCTGTCATTCAGTACCAAGGACAGTGCTGTCAGTGTGACTGTCATTCAGTAGTAAGTAGTGCAGTGTTGACATTCAGTACCAAGGACAGTGCTGTCAGTGTGATTGTCATTCAGTAACCAAGGACAGTGTTGTCATTCAGTACCAAAGACAGTGGTGTCAGTATGACTGTCATTCAGTAGTAAGTACAGTGCTGTCATTCAGTACCAAGGACAGTGCTGTCAGTGTGACTGTCATTCAGTAGTAAGTAGTGCAGTGTTGACATTCAGTACCAAGGACAGTGCTGTCAGTGTGATTGTCATTCAGTAACCAAGGACAGTGCTGCCATTCAGTACCAAGGACAGTACTGTCATTCAGTACCAAGGACAGTGCTGTCAGTGTGACTATCATTCAGTACCAAGGACAGTGCTGCCATTCAGTACCAAGTTCAGTACTGTCAGTGTGACTGCCATTCAGTACCAAGGACAGTGTTGTCATTCAGTACCAAGGACAGTGTTGTCATTCAGTACCAAGGACAGTACTGTCAGTGTGACTGCCATTCAGTACCAAGGACAGTGTTGTCATTCAGTACCAAGGACAGTGTTGTCATTCAGTACCAAGGACAGTACTGTCAGTGTGACTGTCATTCAGTACCAAGGACAGCGTTGTCATTCAGTACCAAGTACAGTGCTGTCAGTGTGACTGTCATTCAGTACCAAGGCCATTGTTGTCTTTCAGTACCAAGGACGGTATTGTCATTTACTACCAAGGACAGTGCTATCATTCAGTGCCAAGGACAGTGTTGTCAGTGTGACTGTCATTCAGTACTAAGGACAGTGTTGTCAGTGTGTAAACAGACTGGCTGTATAGCTTCTAACTTAGGACGATAAACAGTGAAAATCAGGGGAATACTGAGGTCCCAATATTGTCTACAATACAAAATCTTTTTTCTTTCATTTCCATCAAAACACATCCCATAGAACAACAGACAGTTCTGTGTTCTTAAAGTTAGAACCTTAAACAGATACCAGATACAGAAGCACCTCTTTACATAAACCTAAATGTATGGGGAGGCAAAGCTTGTGAAGACTAAACATTTGGGAAAGTGAGAAACAACAGACAAACAGACACATGATATGGCAATACATGGCTGTTGAGAGGCAATGAAACACAACCTATACCCACTGCTGCTAATTCACAATGACCACTTCAACTCATGGAAGCTTTTCATCAGCATTATGGTAAACACAAAACAGATAAACAACAACAAATGTTGAGTACATTGATAAAACTGTGAGGTGTTCATTTACAAAGTGGAAAGAGGGCAGCCTGGAAATTCACTTTTAAGCACACAGGGGCCTGAGAAATATTTAACATAAGAATCATTGGCAAAATGAAGTGAAGAGGTACATGTAAGTTAACATCATAAAAGCTTAACCCCTTAAAGCAGCATTATGTAACATTATGATGATACAAAAAGTCAATTTTCTGGTCATTTCAGCTTTACAAAGTAAGTTGAATCAACCATACTCCATTGCAAGTTAGTGTCATTCAGGATGTGGAGTTGCCAAAACATGATGCCTTACAACTGTGTTTAAAAACTGTCAGCCATGTTTGTTTACATTCTGGTAATTTGTAGTGGCACCACAAACTGAGTGCACCTCGTGTGGGCTGTTGTAGCACCAACTATTAATGTCAGAAATGTGAGCACAAATATGTTGAAAAGTAGAAGTAAGTTACAATCACACAAATATTCTTTGAATTAAAATATTTCAATTTTTGGTGCGAAAATGTTGCATAATGCCCCTTTAAATTTTTTAAATGAATTTAACCAACCCCCCAAACACAAAGTGTGAGAAAGTACAATGTGTACTCACTTGCTATACTAACTACGTCAGCTTTGCACACGAAAGACGTTTCTGTAATGTTGAGCTTGTATGCACATGTTTGGGAAGGGAGAGAAATGACCTGAAATATAAAACACAAAATCATGAATTTTTAAAACAGTTGGGACAAAACTTATATCTTTATGAATGCTATCATAGTAAACTGTATATTATGGTAACAATTGACACACAGACACATAAATATTAGTCACGAACAATTCTGCTTATTACTTATAATATGAAGTCGACTTTTACTATGTACCAGAAAATGTAAGTTTTTAGTGTCTCTCTGATTTTCATAATACATATTGCATGTAGGGGCAATCTGGCCTGCGAGTCCCTTTTCCAAGAAAACTTGAAACTACATGTAAAACCTTGATACACTTACAACTGAAATACTGCAATTCACGATTTTTCCATGGTTCTTTCATGTTCATGTTTTTTTGCGGTCACTTCTGTACTGTGAACTTACATGTATCATTACCGTTAACAAATAATTCACCGACTTTCTTTTTTCTGCACAAGCCACCACTGTGAACATAATATATACAATGCAGTTCCATTAAGAACTTCATTTTTCTCAGACCACAAACTTTTTCTACCATGAACGTGAAGTACATGACACAATATGACACACCTTGGCTTGTTTCTCTGAACATATGACGACAAATTGTCTGTCGGAGATGGTCTCTGTTGTGGGGGAGGACGGGGCTTTCTGCCGGTGTAGATGCTGCAACTGCTGCCATCCTCCTGAAGAGGGGGGCAAAAGGGATTCAGTTAATAATGATGTATAACCATGATGTAAAATAGAAACATTTTGTAAATTTGTATACAAATGTCTAAAGAAGAGAGAAGAAATATGTACAGCTTAGATATAGATACAATGTAGAACATAGTACAGTTTGCCTAATCCTGTTTGTATCTTAAGAGTGCATTTATCCCCACTGGGGCATGAATATGTACTAAACTTCATTGTCATTGTCATTGTCAATAATGCTTAGATATCAGACAATGTCTTGAAAAGGACACATTAATACAATAGAAAGGCGGGGAAGGGGGCAGTTGAGACTTAAGAATAATACTGATTGAAGCCTGTCTGTCACACATTCAGGACCTTCCTCCGACCTTGCCCCCGAACACCAACTGACCACGTTCCAGAGCTGTCTGACCAGATTCAGGCAACACCTTTCTATACGAAGTCAACACGAATTTCAGTCAAAATCGCCTCTTGAACACAACTGACTCACTACCGAATGGTTGGCTGGTGTTCTGCTGACTTAGAGCCAACCATGGCTGAACGTTCCGACCATCCCCGAATGTTTTAAACATTTTGAAACATTTGCTGGTGCAGCAAAAAATACATGTAGTAGCCGACCTCGCTGAACAAGCCAACATCAGCTGACCTTTCTAAGACCCACTTCTAACCATTCGCCTAGTGTTCGGGAGGCCAAATTTCTGAATGTGTGACGGATTGAATGTACAAAATGTATGTCTTCTTTTGATGGAGATAAGGCCATACCAACTTAACTTTATGGATGACATCCGCGCGCGCATTGATTTTAGCCTGTCGCCCTCAAAAAAAAAAAGATCATGTCCACCAAGGGTCTGGCCTGGGTCTAGGCCTGAGAAGTCCATGGTAGTTAGCAACAATACGGAGCTGAGCACCCAGGCTATCAAATTCGAAGCTCCAGGACTCAAGAACTCAGTACATACATACAGTACCGATTCATAAATTCCTAAAAATAGCCTGCGTGTGCCGGCTTGTCGTATACGTCGCTATGTATACTGCTGCAATTTCACAATACCAGCTTTCTATTCCTGTGGTTTAGTAGAATTTTTATTTTTGGCCGGAATTTTTTTTTATTCGCCCACGCGCACTAGTTTGGGGGTCTTCAGAGGATGTCATCCATAAAATTAAATAGGTGTGGCCTAACGTTGAGTTTGGGTAGATATGACAGCCTTACTTCTCTGGTTCATGGACTGTCCATCCTTGGACTCCCTGTTCTCCTCCTTCTTCTTGGGATCCTCCCACTTGGCGAAGAGGGGTGGGATGGTCATGCCGTTACAGTCCAGGAACGACATGGCCAGGATGGCGCCCTTCAGTCGCAGGATCGTGCCTGAGGGGTGACCAACGCACATCAGCATTTGCGACTGGAGGTCGCCCAATGCTGCTGCGCCCATGGGACCTAGAACCACCACCGCAGGAGAGAGGTAGGGAAGGGGAAAAGGGACCGTTAATATTCAGCTTCCAGCCTCCACCAAGCATTGGAACCTGAAAAACCACCACAGCATACCCTGATCACCCCTACACACTACAGTGGACCAGGCCAAACTGTAACAGCTCTTATATGCACCAAAAAGTGATTTCAGGATAGCAAAACTGGATTTTCAAAGTCAATTTTCTTGTCTTTTTTACTGTAGTAACTTAAAGTTATATCAACCCTATCCCAGAGCATACTGATAACTGCGAGGCAAAAATATGATGCTGCTGACGGAAAATGGCTGTTTTGTATTGTAAGCTACTTTTATCTACGTTTATTTTTTAACAAATCGAAAAATAAACTTTAAGGGACTCCTCATGTAGCTTGCTATGGGTCTATTTCAAATGCTTCAAGAATTAAATAACAAAAATGAAATGGCAGTAAATGTCAATATCAGACAGATTTCTTCATCCAGAATATTTTTTGTATTGCTACCCTGCAGTTGCATTCAATTTTGGATACCTAGTAAATGTGGTATTTTTGTGATCATTGTCCTTGAGTAAAGGTGATCAAGCTTCGCTGTTCAAACCTCCAAAAGATACACACCTCCCTTTAGAGTAGTAGTCCTAAGTAAGAGAGAGCAGAGACCAGTAGTAAAGCAAACAAAATACTGAGCATAATGTTAAACAACGACCACACGCACAGCCCCCATAGAACAGCCACCGCTGTATGTATGTATCATGCAATCATTGAACATTGTGGGACAACCGAGGTGGTCCCAACGAGCTGAACGATGTGCCATGACAGCCCGGCATCTCAACCTGTGGTTCAGCAAGGAGGCAAACTTTGCTTTCCTGGAGTTTCTCCTCTCATGTTCTACATCAGGAGCATGTCCTGTAGAAGTATAATAAGGCATGCACCAACAGATGAGTTACAGCAAGGAAAAAACAACACTACAAACCTCTGCGTAAGTACTATATCTAATAACGTATGAAATGTGACGTGCAAGTACCGGAAGAAAGGTCTGTGGACATGCAAATGAGGAAAACCATGTGTGCAATGTACATGCACAAGATAAGCCAGGCAGTGTGAAGAAAATGTGACTGTCTGAGCAGCCTTGTCAAAACAAGCCGGCTACCCGGAAAAAATCGTTGCCTATTTTTTTTGCACCGCCACTTTACTTCAAAAACGAACTTAAAAAATGGTGTCCAATGGCCCATTTCTTTTCAAATTAATAAACTGGGCAGTTTTCTGATAATTTTTGGGATCTGTCACAGTGACTTTGTTCTAAGCCAGTAGTGATGCCCAGTGGGCGATAAAAGTTGCCGAGAATGGACCCCAAAAACAATGTTTAGGGGTCTAAATTTAAAATTTTCTCCAGGGATGCCCCTACATTTTCATTTTAGCCTACTACTTTGAATTTTTGTGACAAGGCTGCACTGCCTATGAACAAAATAAGATCATTATTTCATGCCTATTGGTTCCGAAGAATTGAAGAAATGGCAATGAACTCTACTGCGGCTATTAACCATGCACCAGGCATGCACTGGGTTGTGTTTTCAGATGCTGAACACAGTGGGGGAATCATGGGGATTTATTCCAAGCTGTAAAGAATAATTATTTTTATGAACTCTTTTCTTATATCAAAACTGTCATTGAAGGAAGGGGATGCCTAAATAACTGTTGATGACAAGGTTCTTTATGTTGTGGTCAGAGTTTTATGGAATTTGACAATATGCTGTTATGAAAATTCAAGAAGCCATTGGAAATATTGGGAATGAATGGATGAAGTTGGGGAAATGTAGCAAAATGAAAGAAAACAGTATCTTCTTCCCTGCAAGGTGCATAAATTCTGTAAGTCTGGCACAACAACAATCACCCCATCCACTGTCAATTCCAAGTACTGACAGATGGTTCTCTCACCTCACATTACCTATTGACTGCTACAAATTATATGGATTTTTTACAGTCTCTTCCTCTGTTTAGGTGAGTTCTGATTTTTCATACACAGTAAGTTAGAGTACATGTAAATTACACACAACATATGTCAGAGTCTTCAACAATTTCCACATCATATAAATTGAATGTTTCAGTATTTCCATCCAGTAAGGTACAAGTACAATGTATTAGAACTCCATGTTAGCATATAGTTTTTTTTTTATATCACCATATTTTTCTTGTCAATGTCTGTTTGCAATTAGCCCTCGGGCATGAACTTGCAACAAACAACTCAATTAATATTCACATTATTATTATCAAACCTGTGACAGAAACATAAACTGATAATTAAGATAGTGACAATGCATATGGCTAGTATATACGGTGCTTCTAAGCCCTGTGCCACCTGTGTCATCATAATATTATATAATATACACCAATATAGTGCACCTGTGCACCACCCAGTGACATTAGATTTGAATTGTAACAGTTATTGTACTTACCACTGGGTGATACGATAACCGGTTGGGTCAGTCGCTGGTCCCCCTGGGGCGGTAGGTTCAACACGATCACCAGAACTGACCCCAGGGTGGTGCCCACCCAAAGACATGGAGATGTCACAGGGTCTGAAGTAGAGAAGAAGATAAAACTATTCCACCATATGAAGAGAATTGCAATGCTCTGTGATTGTGTAATGATTGCATTTGTTAGGAGGCTAGGCCTAGGAAAAAACTGTTGTGTTTGCGGTTTCCCGACTGACCCTAGCCTTTTTTGATCAACTGCTGGTAAGGCTAAAAAATTTTCAACCCACCCTCTGAATGTCTGAAACGTCATAAAATGCATTTTCTTCAGTAAATTAAGTGAACTACATCACATTGCATTTGTCCACAATCAAAGAGTTATACTGGTTAAGATGCATTGTTAAACTATTTGCATTTTAGCCAAAATCTAAAAAAAAAAAGGAAATCCCTTATTTTTTGGGGGGGACGGAAACTGGAAACACAACATTAATTTTCCTAGGCCCTATGACTGAGGAAGTGTTAGTGGCAGCAGTGGCTGAAGAGACTATTTAAAAGATCTTTAATATGTTATTTGCTTTTTGTGTAATGATGGCATGATAAGGCTATTAGGAAGTCTTATTTGCAGCAGGGGGCGCAGCAAAGACTTTTTTGTTCTTAGGTTTAAGGATTTGCTTTCTTCAGTCTACAAGCACAGTTTGTAATGTTATTAACCTTGCAGTTATGAGTCTGACTTGAAGAGAGATTTGCAGAGATTGGTCTACTAGTACTAGCATGGAATGAGGAACAATGATTGTTGCAAGTCTGTGTGGCCTGGTGTCCAATCTATCGTGGTTGGGGAGGGTTCTCTTTGGGGCTCCCGGAGCTCTTTGCTGCCCGACTCAGCTAGGCTCTCCGGTAGGTTTTGCACGGCGGAAGTTCAATTCACTCTACCACAATACTGTGGTGGGGCTAACCAACTCCTGGCGTACAAAACTCTAATTATGCATGTATTAGCAAAGCTCCTACAGGCGTAACACTCCTACCGGGTAGCCAGTTGAGCTGGGCAGGGGGAAAACTACTACCCCAAAGACAGCCTGCCCCAACCACGATAGACTGAATACCAGGCTTAACTCTGTGTGGAGATGCCAAGCTTTTCCATGAATTATAAGTCAACATAATTATAATTTATGATTATGATTGTTTTTATCATGACAAGAACTATGATAGGCACTACTGCAAATCAGATATTTTTTTTCCTTTTAGAAATTTAGAACCTACTTAGAAAATGTCCATGAACAATTAAAATGATTGGAAGTACTTTTACTTTAGGTCAACTGGGATTTAGAAATTAGACCGAGATAATCTGTTTTGCTGCTGGTTATGTGTACCTAATGAGTACGTCTGTTGGACTTTCCGTTTGTGGTGTTCAATGGCTTCAGTATGTTCAGGTGTCATCATGTAAGTACTGGGGGTGGGGAAGAAGGCCGGTGTCACATGCTGCTCTTTACTCGGCCTCCGGTGACGCGATTTGGAAGGCCCTGGAAGGAGCCGGTGCATTGTGGGTGGAACCAAGATGACAGCACAGTTTAAAGGTACCCAAAACAATGTCAGAGCAGTAAAACTGGATTTACAGAATATCATTCAAAGTTCATCTGTGTTGGTAGTAATCATAGTAAAACATTGAACTTTATTTCAACACAAGAGTTACAGAGCGATCAAATTTTCGACGACCACTGTTGCCTTCATCAGGATAATTAATGTCGACCAATCACTTCACAACGTGATCTCGCGAGAGTTACGGCACTTTTGATCAATTGCTTACGTCACGTATCAGTAAAATCTCACGTGAATAAGGTCACGTGTTTGTAAACTGTAACTCTTGCGAGATCACGTTGTGAAGTGATTGGTCGACATTAATTATCCTGATGAAGGCAACAGTGGTCGCTGAAAATTTGATCACTCTGTAACCCTTGTGTTGGAATAAAGTTCAATGTTTTACTGGATTTACAGACTGAAGTCAATTTTTTTTGTCTTTTTTTCCCTCTCCCACAGCATACTTCACTTCAAGCATGAACAAAAATGTGCAAAGAAAAGGCGGTAATGTCAATATCAGACATGTTTCTATTTTCAAAACTATTTGTTTTGCCGCTGTGAAATTGCATGGAAGCCTTTAAAGGTTAAAAATCTGTCTGTGTGTAGCAAGAAAACTATGTTTGATACAATGCAAAAATAGGTAAATATTACATAAAAGACTGTTTTGTTATTAGAAAGAATACTGATTTGCTGTCACATGTACCCATAGATATAAACTCCGCCTGATTGTAAAGCCTAAGCTAACTTTTGATTATTTCTTTTCTATATATAAGTTGTTAAGTTTTATTCTATACCTATCTATTTTACTATGCTACTTATTGTTACCTACTAGTATTTGCCATACAATGTACCCTGTACAATTGTCGTGCAATAAAGTTCTTCTTCTATAGGGATAAGGTCATTCAGCCCACATGTTTGGTAAGGCCACCTTTATTTACCAGGCCAACTGATATATGAGAATTTATTGAGTGAATGCTTATAAAAGGTAGCAGATTCTTTTATTATTTTATGGAAATATGACTTATCATTGTGTTTTTTTTAAATTTCTATAATTGCACCCAAAAAACATATAGTATTATTACATGATTGTTATCAGCTATACAGGATTAGAAAACAAAACAAAACAAAAATGTGCCCAAAATATTTGAGGACAACAGTTGATGTCAATATCGCACAAAACAAAACAAAACAAAAATTTGCCCAAGAAAAAGTAAGTTGAGGTCAAAATCATACAAAGGATACCTGCAAAACGTTTGCTCCCAAATGTGTGCATCAGCCCTTACCTGTCTTCCTGGTGTAGGACTCTGTGAAGGACAGACAGTTGATGCCCTCTGCGCTCACGTTCTCCAAACTGGACATGCTGGAGCTTCGTGAGCGACTGAACGAGCCGTCCTTGCTGTCAGCTGCAAGGAGACAACCCAAACAGTCAACACAGCACAGAAACCAAGAAGGAAGGCATAGGACACTAGCTTTGTGCCTGGTCTCTGCTGTCTTTGCTTCGCTTGGCAGCAACAACACACTGCAGATTCATACAATCATCAAGTTTCTGCTCGACAATGTTAGCAATGTCTGTACACATACAATACTAGTACTGTAAATCACTCTGTATATTCGCGGTACTTTTATATTCACGGTTTATGCGGTCACTTCTGCACCTGCTACCACCGCAAACATATACACGTAGTTTTGCAAACATGTCAATTTTTCTCAGACTGCAAAATTTTGCTGCTGCAAATATAATTGTGATTTACAGTATTTTAAACAAACACAGTTGTTTGTTCAGGCAATGGCTACTTTTAAGATTTATTTTTCTAATAAAATAAGTCCTCGATATATATTTTGTAATGTTGTTTAGCAAATTGTGCAAGTACTGTGAATGATACATAATATACCTGCAACAAACTGCTACATTTTTACTTGAAAAACAAACAGTGCATATGGCAAAACAGCACATCATAAAATTGCCAATGAAACAAATTTTTGTGTGACTGTGCATTTGCTGAGGAAAATGATAATGAGCAAGCATTACTCAACAAACTACCAACAGAGTTACATTGTACAAGTCTTGGTGGTATAGGCTGGGTCCTGGATGGTGTATTTTGAATACTGCAAGGATGCAGACGTAAAGAAGATTATGGTGCTTAAAAGCTGCATTATGTAACATTATCATATGAAAAGTCAATTTTCTGACCATTTCTTTACAAGTTGAATCAACCCAACTCCATTGCAAATACATGTAACATCTGTGTCCATAATATCACCAGGGTACATAATATCGCCAACTTGAGAAACAGTGTGCTTAAAGATATTTTTACTGCAACATACTGGTGGTATATGCACTCCTTCACACATCAAAATGTACGTACCTAGGGTATGTTGCAGCAAAAATATCTTTAAGCACACTATTTTTCAAGGTGGCAATATTATGGACCCTGGTGATATTATAGACACAGATGTTAAATGCCATTCAAAAGTGAAGGTGCCAAAATAAAAATATGTTATGTGTGTGTTTTAAACTGGAAACACAACTGTCAGCCATGTTTGCTTACATTCGTAGTTTGTGGTGGCACCACAAACTAAGTGCGCTTGGTGTGGGCTGTTTCAGCGCCAACCATACATGTAAATGTCAGGAATGAGAATTGCACAAATATGTTGAAAAAAGTGTCAACAAATTACAATCGCAAGAAGATTTTTATAAACATTTCAATTTTCAGTGCAAAAAATGTTACATAATGCCCCTTTATAGTTCAAATTATGCTTTAATGTGCAGTTACCCTGACAACCTGCGTCATAAGGCAGTGAAACCTACAATAATACTGTATCTATTCTGAAAGCACTGTTTGAAACTGGGCTAACTAATATACTAAGACTTAGTATAATTATTAGCTTATTTACAAATCTGCTTAATACAAATGGATTTATTGTTACACTACAGTTGGTGACTCTACAAATCTATGCTACATACATTTAATAAACATACATGTATTAATTTTGTACGTCAGTTTACCACAGCATCATACATTTGTACATTGATGCAGTTTAGTCTCCTTTTAAGTAGACTTTTAGGGGGGAGGGGGGATGACAGACTGGTTGTCTCTACCCTAGATGTAGTATTAGCAATCATTATAGTGTGGTGAAGTTATTTGGAGTGGTTGATACACTAATCTGAGGAAAGAGGGGGTGTGAACATTAGGCGGAACAGCCACCTTTGGGTGAATCTCTGCCCGGACTTTTGTGAGAGGTTACATGGGGGTCTGTGCCCGCACTTTTGGGGGCAGCCTTGGGAGACTGGCTGCCGACACTGGAGGTGCTACTACTTCTCTGTCGGCGAAACTTGGCCTCGGCTGCGAGGGAAAGACACATTCATGCGTGAACATCATCGTGTATGTGAGCGTCGTGATTTCGCCTGAGATTCTATCATATTTCAAAATCCTAGTTATCTCTGAAAACTGACTGCAGTTATTTGAGCTAGACAGGTTTTATATTCAGTTACACGACAGTACAGTACCTCTGGTTTTCTTCAAAAGGCAATGTACTGTGCCACCTAACCTGGTTACTTACATGTGATTTTGGGGGGCAAAAACATTGCAAAATTGCAAAAGTTTCTGGCTGAAGCAGCAAAGGATTAAACTTTTTCGCCTTTTTTTGCCGGCAGACTTGCTTGAAACGCTTATTTTTTGTTTTTATATAATAGTCCTTCAGAATCAGAAGCGCCACTTCAAGCCAAACAAAGCAGCTATTGTTAGTAAAGCAACAAAATGAGAAAAAGAGTAAAAAAGAGAAAAAAAGAAAGAAGTTCTGAAAAGGATGCTAAGCAGGAAAGAAACAGGACAGTAAACCTTTGATTAGTTCTGTCCGGAACAGCCGGCTCACGCTGGACCCCCAGGACATGCTGAGGCTGTTGTTCATGTCGTCACTGTCTGTGTCAGAGATAGCAAATCAGGCAAGAACAAAATTGGGTAACAAAATGGCTCCACACCTGAGGCATCGCCAAAAAGTAATCAACTCAAAATCAACTCTCTACAAACAACCAAGCAGACTACTATTATAGCTTGCCTACTGATACAGAATAGTGCAAAGATAAATCAATAATACTACAGAAATCAAAGATTTCTACTGTAACATTTTTCATTGGATGGATGTTTGTTATATCAAACTTGATCATGACTTTCTAAACTTTGCAGATCACTCCTACATTGTCATGTAGAAACATTTTGTAAACATTTGTATATAGAAAATTGAGAGTTTGATATTTCTATTATATATAATTCAGAAAAAGTTAGAATTTCAAACTAGAGTCACTAATTGATATCATTCATGAAAATAAGTGTGATAAACCTATATTCATAGAGTGATAAACAGTTGATACTGTCAGTGTGTGTCAGTCCAGTCAGAATATTAGTGATCAACGCTGATAGTCTGAGTGTCAGAGTACATTTGTTGTTATACTCATCATTAACTAATAATAATAAGTCCTAATAATTGTTATTAATGACAGACTTTTTTTCAGTAAGAAGGGAAAGTTACTGCAAATCTTGAAATACTGTAAATCACTTTATATTATAGGGTACTTTTATATCCACGGTTTTTGCTGTTACTTCTGTTCCACGAATTTATTATTACTGCAAACAAATTATTTGCCGACTTTCTTTCTTCTGCACCTGCCGTCACTGTGAAAATATAGTTCTGCAAACTTGTCCTTTTTTTCTCAGCCTGGAAAGTTTTGCTACCGTGAATATAACGTGATTTACAGTATTCACAGTGGTTTTATGTTTGAATGTTTCACAGTAACCTTTCTACCTCGAATGCTGTCCCTCTGGATTCCTAAAATTTTGATCCCAATAGCAGTGGGTACATGACATTTATTGTACATGTATATAGTATGGTACAAGGGTTACCAGCAGATGCTGTTCTCATGTTACCCACTAGGAGGCACTCTTTTCTTTGACAATTTTAATGACATGTATATACATGTACCTGTACATGTACATTGTATGTGTACAGATTGGACCCTACTATTCATGATAGTATGCCGTGTGCCTGCGAAGCTGGTGTGTTATGCCAAGGGGCGGTTATACCGGCTAGTATACAGATACAGAAGCTGGACAGGTGTGTTATGCCGAGGGGTGGTTATACCAGCTATACAGATTCAGAAACTGGTGTGTTACACCGAGGGGCGGTTATGCTGGCCATACAGACACAGAAGCTGATGTGTTACGCCGAAGGGTGGTTATACTGGCTATACAGATACAGAAGCTGGTGTGTTACTCCGAAGGGCGGTTATACCGGCAATACAGATACAGATTCTGAAGTTGGTGCGTTACGCTGAAGGGCAGTTATACAGACACATAGGCTGGTGTGTCACGCCGAGGGGCAGTTATACATACAGAATACTTGAATCTGAGACAACCTTGAAGGTAGTTCACTGTAGACTGATAAATGGACAGTAGGTCCTACCTACAGACACATGGGACCAGTTTAGACAAGGCCTATACCTCACCTGTCTGACCCTTCCTGTACAGTAGCACTGTGCAATACATCAACAACATTTTGCCAAATCCACTTCTGCTGCAAACATAGTGAACAAACCCAAATGACTCTGTAGACTCACTCTGTGTGGATTAGCCAATTCACAACTGCAGTTCAGGCCACACCAATTTAACTTCTTGGTTAACGGATTTTTCTAGAAAAATAATGGAGCGGGCGGGCGAAAAAAAAAATAAACTAGAGTTCCCCGATCTCATACCTTCGCCAAATGATGTTAATCTTTATGACTGACAAATTATAGATTATTCCCCCCTGATTTAACAAATAGGATCCTCATTTTCATGAATTATATGATTTTATCATATTCTCAACCAAAAGACAGTCTTTTATTAACAAACAATGCCTTTCTAGCATTTCCTAATAAATTATGCAAATGAAGTCCTAATTGGAATACATCATGTTTAATGATGTTCACCTTCACTTATCTTTCAAATACCACAAGTATAAAATTCCAGGCACTTATCATTACATAATTATGAAATTTTCTCATTAATTAAGCAAATTAGGTCTTCATTTACATAATGAATATTTGTCTGTGTTTCTCTCGTTCTCAATTACCAATTTCACAAGATAGAATAGTCATATCATGGAATACAGCTGATTTATAGAATTTCCCCATAAATTATGCAAATTACATCCATATTTGCACAATTGTCACATAATTATATCAAGCATCACGTAAGCTACCAACATACCAAAAATCATGACGATCCGTCAACCGGTTCTTGAGTTATCCTCTTTTGAATATTTTCAAACATTTAGCCCTGCAGTTCCAGAGCAAGCCGCTAGGGGGCCCAAACTTACGTCACTTCTTTCCCAGCACAAGAGCTACATACCATCCAAATTTCGTCACCCTAGCATATCTAGATCATGAGATATGAAAACCGGAAGTTCAGCTGCAGCACCATAACAAGACACTAGGGGGTCCAAAATCTAATCATTTTGAGGTCTCATTAAGACCTACCCACCTACCAAGTATCAAGACAATCCCTCAAGGCCTTCTCAAGTTATCGTGTTTACAGACACACACACACACACATACACAAACGCCTCTGAAAACATAACCTTCTTGGCGAAGGTAAAAAAGGCCTGGGCATTCTACTATAGTCCAAAATGGTACGATAGGAGCTGTGAAGTCAACACACCAGGCTGGTTCAAAATTTAAACAATGAATTTTGGAACTTTTAATGATACCATTGCAATGAAAGATGGAATAACTGCAACAACTAGGAAGAAAAGGACTGTTTTCAACTGTTCAGGGCAAAATATGAGCATTTTGCAGTTGATTCTGAATTTTTATTTTTATTTGCAAATCAGAAAAAAATGAAGCGGGCGAATCCGTTAAGCAAGAAATTAAATTGGTGTGGCCTAATGTACAATGTTGCAGTGCTCAGGTACTTCAGAATGTACATTTTAATTGCCTCAATCAAATTACACAAAGGGCATACTGTCGTTTGTCAAGTCAGCACTGCCCTCAATGATACAGATTGAATTAATAACTGTCGTCTATCAAACACATGTAATCTACGCACCACTGATGATGATAGCGTACTTACATTTGTAATAGGGGTATTGGACAAAAATTTTGTTTTGTTGTTAGCCATTAACAGTGTAGCTTTTTAGAAAGAGCTCATTAAACTGAACAAAATGGTTTTTGTTTGAAGTAAATCGGATGTTGTATGGCGGAGATATTTGTAATTTATGTCCCCATTTTGGGGTCGTCGTTGTTACGAAGTCGGTAAGATACGCCATTTTTATCATTTTTCATATGCTAATATCATAAAAACGAAACATCACACAGACTTCAATTTACTTGTACAATGCTCTATTGATATCATATTAAATGATGTGTAAAAACCAGAATCATTGCATCATTATTTACAGAAATACATAATCCTGAAATATTGAACAATATGCCCTTCGGGAGCACGCATGGAAACTGTTGATTTTGGCAAAATGCCAAAAATTTCTAAGTCCCCCTAATTACATATGCAAAACCACAATAATTCCACTATACTTAAACATATCTGATCCAAATTCACATCTAAGGGGTTTGGACACACACTGAATCCGAATTTACAATCAAAAGTGGCATATCTTATCTCCATATCGTGTCTTTTATGACTTTATTGCCGTCGGCCTAATTAATTATGCGCGAATGCATTTTCTCCCATGTCTTTCATTGTATGTCAACATATTTCACATCTAGGGGGTTTTGGCACGTGCTGAATCCAAATTTGCTATCAAAATTGGCATATCTCATCATCTTATAGTACTATTATGAATTTACACACAGTTTATGACGTTCCCTCATTATATATGCATCGACAGATTTTCTTACAGAACATAGATGTTTTGTATACATTTATCCATCTTCTACTATATAAAACTTATCTTAAAACTTAACAATATTAAAGTCTATAGAGATCTATTGGTCCTAATCTTACTCATGTCCTTTTCTTCTTTTCAGGTTCCTCTTGGACTTGACGGCACGCTGTGTTTGGGCGAAGTACCTGTTGTAATATTGCACGTACTGTTTATCTATCTCTTCCCACCCATCTATCGTTGTCAGTCTCAGGTTGGCAGTAGCCTTCTATCTCTGCCACCATCATTTTTGTCACAACTATTTTAGGAGGGTTGTCCCAGCCTTTGTCCAACACATGACGTGTTATTCCAGCCTTTGCACACTCTTCTCCAACCTTGTTGGGTTCTTCCTTTTTCTTAGGTTTGTAGACTGAGCTTACAGGTGATGCAAGAAGGTTGTCCAGGTCTTCCTGTCCACACTCTTCAGCTTTCTTCCAAATTTTCTTCAACACATTCGAGCATTACGTCGGCAGCTCCACAGCACTGTCGATGGCATGGACAAGCCCAGGAAGATGTTCGTTGACACTCATGCCCTGGTCACGTAGCCTACACTCCAGCAGAAGTAGTGTGGAGCATAGAACTGTTTCACAGTTTGCTGCAAAGAATAATAAAAAAATGAAACTATATTAATTTAAATTATATATTTATATATACAT